CTGGCAGACTTCTCTGAAGAAACACTATGGGCAAGAAGAGACTGGATTGATGTATTCAACAAACCCTAAGACAAAAAAAATGTTAACCAAGAATACTTTATCCTCCAAAGCTCTCCTTCCTTCCTCTATTAGGGAATAATAAAGAATTTAATGGATAAACAAAACCTTCAGAAACTTGCTGCTACTAAACCGCACTCCCAGAAATATTACAAAAAGCCTTGAAATCTAAATAATGCAGGATTCAGCAGGAAAAACAAAGCAAGGTAATAAACAAAACCACAAAATAATGAAAAAATGGCCATTGCAGACTAAATGTAAATGGACTCCACTCACCACTAAAAAGACAGAATAGCAGACTGGACAAGAAAAGGAGAATCCAACCTTCTGCTATTTCCAGGAACCATACCTAGGCTTAATGATGAACATAGATTGAAAGCAAAGCATTGGAAAACAATTCTACAAACAAATGGCACCCAAATGAAGATAAGGACCGCCATTCTTATATCAGATAAAATAGACTTCAAAGTGAAAAGGTGGGAGACGTATCTGGTCACTAGATAATGGTCAAGGGACAGTACACCAAGAAGACTTAATGTTCATCAATATATACTTACTACATGATGGAAAAACAAAATACATTAGACTATTAACTATCATCTCTGAAAACAGACATTCGAGAAAATACATATGTGATAGGAGACTTCAACACCTGACTCTCACCATGGGACAGATAAATGAGACAAAATATAAACAAGGACACAATAGCCCTAAATAAAGATCTGGACCACAGGGGCCAAACAGACATTATAGTACACTGGATCCATAAAAATATGAATACACCTTTTTCTCAAGCAACACCTGGATCTTTCTCCAGGATCAACCACTTATTGGGCAGAAGACAACAAGTGATGGAGACCAAAATCATACCAAGGATATTCTCTTTATGGCATACAAAGGCAGCCATAAAGGCATCAAACTACGAATTAACCATGAAAAGAAAGCAAAGAACACTCCCATTTCATGGAGATTGAATCCCACATTGCTGAAAAATCAGTGGATTAATGAGGAAATCAAACAAGAAATTAAAAAATACCTTGAGATGAATGACAATGAGAACACAACTTTCAAGAATGTATGGGACACAGGGGCCTCCCCAGTGGCGCAGCGGTTGAGCGCTGGGTTGCAAAGTTGCCGCAGCCTCTGAAGCGCTGGTTTGATCCCCGGCTGCTCCCTGGACACCGGAGGAGGGTCCCACATGGCACACAGACCTCTCCTGCTGCCTCCTGCTCCTCTCAGCAGTGTACTTCGGTCCTTCTGCCTGCTCTGCTCCCCACTCTGGTTCTGGTGAATTCTCTCACCCTCCTGCGCTTCTGACTGTACCCAGTACTTGTATAAATAAATAAATAAATCTTTAAAAGAAAAAAAAAAGAATGTATGGGACACAGCAAAACCAGTAATAAGGGGGAAAGGGATATCAATACAACCCCATACCAAGTAACAAAAATGAACACAATGAAATAACCTAATCTCCCATTTCAAAGAGCTAGAAAAAGTACAACAACAAGCCAGTAGAAGAATGGAAATAGCAAAAATCAAGCAGAAATAAATAGAAATGAAAACACAATCTAAAATATCAATGAAACAAAGAGATTGTTTTCCGGAAAAAGTAAATGAAGCAGACAAACCTGTGTTCAGATTCAGAAAGAAGTAAAGGGAGAAAATTCAAATAAATAGGATCATAAATGAAAGAGGGTAAATTACAACAAACGCAGCAGAAATCCAGAGGATAATCAGAAATTGATATGAAAATTTATATGCAACAAGTTCCACAATCTAGAAGAAATGGACAAATTCCTAGAACTATACAATCATCCAAAGCTGGATAAAGAAGAAATAGGAAAACTAAACAAACCAGTTACAAGCAGCAAAATCAACAGCAATACAAACCCTCCTCCTCAAAAACAAAAAAAGCCAGGACCAGATGGTTTGACAAATGAGTTCTAACAAACTTTCTATTTTTTTTTTTTAAGATTTATTCATGCATACAAGAACTGGGGTACAGGCCATATGTGTGGGTGTGTGATAGGATTCAGCTGAGAGAAAACAGGGGATAGAACAGGCAAACTAACTGACATACACTACTGAAGGGAGCAGCAGGCAACAGGAGGGGTCTACCGTGCAATGTGGCTATTTCCTGGCCAGCTGGCTGGGATTGAACCACACTGCAGAGGCTTGCAGACAGCTCCACAGTGTTATGCTCAACTGCCTGCACCACCAAGGAGGCCCTACTAAATTTTCAAAGATGAACTTATCCCTGCCCTACAAAAAGTCTTTCAAAATATTGACAAAGAAGGGCCTCCCCTGGTGGCTCAGGCAGTTGAGCACCATGCTGTGAAACCATCCACAGCCTCTACAGCACCGGTTTGATCCTGGCCTGCCAGCAAGGGCCCCACATGGCACAGCAGACCTCTCCTGTCCCACTCGCTGCTCCCCTCAGCAGTGTATTTCATCAGTCTGCCTGTTCTGTTCCCCGCTCTGTCTCTGGTGAATCCTCTCACCCTCCTGCACGTCTGGCTTGTACCCAGTTCTTATATAAATAAATAAATCTTTGAAAAAAAACTTCTTCCTCTTTCAAAAAAAAATATTGACAAAGAAAAAATAATACTAAATAAATTTTATGAAGTCAATATTACACCAAACTGAAATCAAACAAATATAATAACAATAACAAAAAGAAAACTGTAGAACAATCTCCCCACTGAGCAAAGATGGAAAAATGCTCAATAAAATCCTAGTAAACTGAATCCAGCAGTGCATCAGAAGGATAAAACACCATGTAATTCACCATATCAACAAAAATAAAAATAAAAATAACTATATGCTTCTCTCAGTAGACACACAAAAAACATTTGGCAAAGTTCAACATTCATTTATGGTGAAGACCATTGAAATTCTTGGGATAAAAGCAACATATTTTAACATAGTAAAAGCCATATATGACAATACAACACCAGAGGGTATTCTCTATATTGAAAATGGAAAACATTTTCCTTTAAGATTTTGAACAAGACAGGATGTCCTCTGTCATCATCACATTTTAATATAATGCTGAATTCCTAGCTAGAGCAATTATTCAAGAGAAAGACATACAAGAATCCAAATAGGGAAATAGGTAAAACTATCACTATTTGCAGGTGATATGATAAAGATAATATAGAGAGAGAACCCTAAAATCTCTACAGAAAAACTTAAAACAGTTTAGTAAAGTAGCGGGTTACAAAATCAACAGAAAAATCAGTAGCCTTCTTATATACAAAGTAGCAGGTTACAAAATCAACACAAAGGTCAGTAGCCTTCTTATGTACAATGAGTCTGAAGAAGAAGAAATTAAGAAAACCATCCCATTCAAAATTGTACCCCAAAATATTAAAAATATTAATATTTTAATATTAATAAACTTAAAAAGAATAAACTTAAAAAAGAAAGTGAACCACATATACAAACAAAATTATAAAACTTTGTTGAAAGAAACAGAATACACAATGAATGGAATATTCCCTGTTGGGTTTGAAGAATTCACATTATCAAAATGGCCATCTACTGAAAGCAATTTACAGATTCAACACAATTGCAATGACATTCTTCCAAGAAATAGAACAAATATTCCTGAAATTCATATGCAATCACAAAAACATCAAATAGCAAAAGCTCTTCTGATTAAAAAATAGGGGAATATAGGTTTCACACTCCCAGACTTCAATCTATATTATAAAGCTATAATAATTAAAAATGCATGGTACAGACTGAATAATGGAAATGAATTGAATATGAGGAAGTAGGGCCTCCCGGGTGGCGCAGCGGTTGAGCTCTGGGCTGGGAAGCTGCCCACAGCCTCTGCAATGCCGGTTCAAACCCTGGCCACCAGCAAGGGTCCCACATGGTGCGCAGACCTCTCCTGCTGCGCCCGCTGCTCCTCTCAGCAGTGTACTTCATCAGTCTGCCTGTTCTGCTCCCCGCTCTGGCTCTGGTGAATTCTGTCACCCTCCTGTGCTTCTGACTGTACCCAGTGCTTGCATAAATAAATAAATAAACAAACAAATAAATCTTTAAAAAAAAATGAGGAAGTAAAGCCACAGATCTATGGTTTAAAATATATGACTAAGCAACAAAGAATATGCAAAGAAACAAAGACAGTCTTTTCAATAAATGATGCTGGGAAAATTACTACATGCAAAAGAATGAAACTAGTTGACTACCTCACACCATACACAAAAAACAACTCAAAATGGATAAACGACTTGAATATAAGACCAGAACCACAAAATGTGTAGAAAAAACATAGATAAAATTCTCCATGACATACATATCAGAAACATCTCCAGAAGTAAAGAAAATGAAGGAAAGATAAGCAGCTGGGAATACATCAAACTAAAAAGCTTCTGTCCAGCAAAAGAGACAATAACCAAAACATAGAGACACCCTACTGATTGGGAGAAAATATGTGCACTCCATACAAGTATGATTTGGAATGTCCTGTTGACCTTTGTCCCGGGTTGTCTGATTAGTCCCCTTTGGAATTTGTTACCCTTATCTCTGGAGCCTTCCTTAACTCTCCTGAAGTCCCAGCACTGTCCTTGAGGCTGCCTAATTATCCCTGACTTGCCCTAGGAGTCAATACCAAACAGGAATAATCTACTTTTGGATAGCAGGGGAAACCTATACCCCCCACCCCTAAATTCTCTTCATCTATTACCATTTGATAAGGAAAATTAAGAGGTGGGTTTCTCTAGGATACTGTAGTCCAAATTCTTTTTATTGTTTGGAAGTCCTAACACTCACCACAGTCAAATGATTTTTTTCCTCTTTGGGGAAAAAAAGGAAGTAACATGCCTATAATTAAATGTTTTCAATTAAATTCAAAGATGTGACTATCTTTTTCAGAATTCCTGAGGAATTCTTTGACCAAAATGTGTACTGACTGACTGTTTTTGTTCAAACAGGAACATCAAGTGTACCTCGTTGAATTCCACTGAAATGATACCAAAGAATGATGGCTAAATGCTACAATTGGAAATCATTTCTGCTTCTCAAGAGGTTGAAAAGAGCTTGTATTTCTCATTTTTCCAAATAGTGTGGATGTGAGCAAAACCTTTTGTATCCTAACCAATCCAAAGTTTGTTGGGTGATGGAAGCCCAAATTTGTTCTGATATTACTATGAAAAATAATCTCATGTGAAAAGAATAAAACCAATGTTGTAATATATTATGTCCAACATTACTTTAAATAAAAAATTAACTGAAAATATATATAAATATTTTGATTGAATAGTGTGTCACTTGGTTCTAAAGTTTCTGCATGTCATATGGCTAACACACAACATCCCTGAGAGAGAAAAACACTGGACATAACCCAAGGAAAGTAGGTTATTTTGGGGAAAAAAAGATAGGTAAGTTATAGAAATTCTGGCCTACACATAGCTTTGCTTTCTTTCTTGTCTTTCTGTGCCCTGAACCTGTCTCCTCTCTTGGACATAACGTTCTCTAGAGTCACATTTAGGTGCCAAAAACATGCAGTGCACACCAGCTTGTGTGCTTCTAGCAAACAAACTGCATTAGATTATTTTAATCTAATATTTTCTCCATTATCTATTTATAGTAAATGATGTATTAGCTTTCTAGGCAGGAATACCTAGAAATACGTGGAAAACCAGAGAAAATGGCCTGTAATCAATATGATCTAATGCATTTGGTGAATTGCTGTCATGATAGCCCACCACTTATCTAGAATATAATCTTTTCACATTTAAGATTTTCAAACTGGACCAAAATGAGCCTGCTAGGCTCAATTAGAGAAATGTGGAATGGTGTAACATTGACAATTATGGTTTTTTTTAAAGATTTATTTATTTATGCATAAAAGAACTGGGGTACAGGCCAGAGGTGCAGAGGGTGAGAGGATTCACCAGAGACAGAGTGGGGAGCCGAACAGGCAGACTGACAGCCCCAGTAAGTGGTATGGGTCTAGGTTCTCCTGCAGTAGCCCAGCCATCTGTTGGCAACCCAAAGAAACAGGACTCTATGGGTTTGACATTGTCAGATTCCACAGCTGGCTCCACTATAAACGCCAAGCAGACTTCGATTACCAACCCAAGTGTCTCCAGTGGCACAGCCACTATCACTAATTCTGGAATCGCTACTAGTGTTTCTAACACTGAAGACAATAGCTTACACTATGCCACCATGAGCCCAGACCCACTTGGGGTGATGGGACACGTGACCCCTGTGCCCCGTGGGAGCTCTGGGGATAGTATATCCAACACATGCCCCACTCCTTCTCCGACATTGAGAATGCCCAACTGTAGAGGAAGAAAAAGAAGGGCCTCCAGCCCTCCTCCCACTCCTCCTCGTATTGCTCAGGATCCATCTCACTTGAGTCCAACACCTGTGGTAGGACAACACAGAGATGTCTCTGCATTGGCTTTGGTGCCTCCTTAAATCCGAGCATCTGGGGTCCAACTGTGATGCAAAACACAAGTACCATGACATGAAATAACAGCCCAGTTACTATAGCTGGAAAAACATCACCACAGACATGTCTGCTTCTACTTATGATTGGTACACGTGGAATTCTATTTACCTAAATATGAGTGGCACACAAGGAAATGACAGCACCGTGCCCACGTTTGGAGACCCCAGTGATCCCAATTTCCATAAGAACATCTTGGGCCCTGCTGGACAAAGAATGTCTCCTACACCTGGAGCAACTCTCACCACAAACAAAACATATGGGACAAGAGGCAAGTCTGCTAACAACTCTGATTATTACAACTGGGGCTCACCTAGCTTTACTGTACCCACTGTGGTCTCAAATGCCAGCCCCACTCCAAAGCATAAACACACTGCTACTTGCACGTATGTCCCCCACACATGGAACCCATCTTTCCAATTCTCTGATTGGGGACAACAGTACTTCCACAATTGCAAATTAGGTGTTCCTAATTTCCATCAGTGGGGCCCACCTGGATCTAATACAGCTAATACAACTGGAGGAAATAACATCTCAGCTGTCGTGGGTGGCCCCTATGTCACCACCTCTCATCAGAATACTGGGTACCCACCTATCCAAGCCACAGGTAATGCTGTGGGGGAGAGCTCCACATCTGCTGTGACGGGATATGCTTATGGCTCACCATTCGTACAAAGCCCCTGGGACCCTGCAGGTCAAGGAACAAGGCGTGGGACAGAGTGAAGTGGCAGGGGATTTTAGGAAAAATCCTCTCAAAACACTTGGTGCACTTGTGACCATGGCGAGGCCACCAGTGTTTGGAGGTACCAGCTGAGAGCAACTCTGCTGGTTTTCTGAATGTAACCAATGGCATCCTTGCCTGTCAATCACTCCCTTAAGCTCCCTACAACTTTGTAGAAACTACCCAACAAGTATATAATGATTTCAGCAAGTAAGGAGTAAGGAAACTTACTTACGAGGCTTTGTCCTGGGCAACCACAAAACACAACATCACCCAAAGCAAATATTCAAGTTTTATGGAGGCTTTAACTGTATTCAGCGAAATGTGCAATCTCTAAAGTCTCAATTGTTACTGGGCAAAGGGTCTAAGAAAACGGACACAGGTCTCAACCTCTCACCAATTCTGGGTCCTAGACACTAGTGGCCACATAATGCAAACAAAAGAGCATTTTGTGAAGCAAAAGAAAAAGATCTATTTTAACTAACAGGGTAGAGGGAAGGAAAAGGCCCAGTCCCAACAGATGGTGTGAGGTGGAGCTGCAGCTGTAGGAGAAAGCAGGGTGCAGAAACCCTGACCATCAGAGCTTGAGGTGCCTCCACACAGTCTCCCCAAGTCCTGCTGCCACCGGACCAAATAAGACATGCAGAGGCCTGCTACTGCTGAGATGGGGGGCGGGCGATCTGGGGGGCAGTGTCCTACCATCTGCCTGGTCAGCAGAGCACCTGCCTTCCACACACAGTGAACCCATGTGAATGGCTTCCTTTTAAAGACTCCTCAAAATGGCCATTCGGCTCTGCCCCCTTCCCAACAATCCCATCTCACAGGAGGCCTGATCTCGGAGCAGAGTTCAGTCTTCCTTGTGGGAAAATGTGGTTTGCCCTTAGGGGTGTAGCGTTCAAGTGCCCTGGGCCATACCAATACAATAACAAGGAACACTCTTCAAGTGCCAGGCTATGCATTGTCTCAGAGCAGTTCCTGGGAATGAACATTCTCAGAGGGGAGAGATGCTAAGCCTCTGATTGCCGGGATCCAACTCCCAAGTCAGATGGGTGGTCACATTCTTTCCATTGCTTTCCCCAGGCTTGCTTTTGTCTACTCTATTAACATTTACATTGTGCTATGCCTTGCATAAGGTACCTTGTGTTTTAGTCACAGATTGACTTAAAGATTTTCAACCAATGGATTGTATTGTTTAAATACTGCTCAATCCTGAGGAAAATTGTTTGGTGAGATTATGATTTCTCCACAGGGATAGTGCTACTTCTGCCTTGAATGCCAACTGTTTAGTAGTCAGCTATGCTTATTGTCACAACTTCAGATTCCTCTTCAATGCTGCACACTCTTAGGTTCATTTCATATGATTATATATTGGTACTTTACAAATCGTCACTTTGAAAGCAAGCTCACGGAAAACTATTAAGTGCTGTTATAGTTAAAATATTTTCTTAACTATTAAATTATATTTTGAAAATATTTTTCTTGACAAATTTTATCTCAACATGTTTGCTTCATCCAAGCCACATTATCTCAGAATAACCATTTGGCACCTGTGATTTTACCTTACAAGGCTAAGAACGAGAATATTCTATATAGGTTTGCCCTGCTATCCAAAAGAATATTTTGGATATTTTTGGAGTGGGAACACTATTACCATTGATATATGTGGAAAATTTCTCCATTTCCAGAACCTCCAAAATAACCTACCAAATCATACTGATACTGGAATTGCAGGTTTTCAGGCCTAGTCTCCCAGCCAGCAAGGGATCCCAGGCTGCAGGCACAGCACAGAGTCCCAGCCACAGACCACCATGGGTTGGTGTCTCACGAAGCCGCAGCAGGAACTTCACAGACACTCAGGCAAGCAAGAGAGAGGAGGCAGATTTGCTCAGACAAAAAGTTTACTGAGGAGAAAAGGAACAGAAATAAAGTGGGACTCCCAGGCCTTGGAACCAGGTCAGGGAGCAGCAGGGAAGCCAAGGGGAGTTGGGCCTCAGGGAATATAGACCTTCTTTCCCTGATTATTTTAAAGCCCCACCAGTCTCTTTGTGAATGCTCAGTTCTTGGTGGTCTTGCTCACTGCCTAAATGTCTCTGTGCCCAGAACTAAGTCTCTGTGTCCCAGACCTCATCTTTTTTCCTTTATTGTCCTCAGTTTGGAATGCCCTGTCCCAGAGTGTCTGATTATCCCCTTTGGAATTTGTTGCCCTTATGTCTTGTGCCTTCCTTAGCTCTCCTGAAGTCCCTGCACAGTCCTTGAGGCTGCCTAATTATCCCCAACTTGCCGTAGGACTCAGCGGTGTCTATTAATGGCGCCTTCCCTTACTCATCACAGCCTTCTTTCTCTAACCCTTTACTTTGGTCCCTAATCAAGATTTGAAAAGCCACCTTTAAAAGTTGGTGTGGCTGAGTTTGGGGTCCCATGGCAAGTTTTGAGTTTCCTGCCGTATATCTGATGCAGACTGGTTAATAAAAGGAGGCCCCAATATCACCTCGCCCTCTTGTTTTAGGACCAAGGTTGTGCACATGTGAGTGGCTTTCACTGGTCACCCCTGGTTTACTCTCTGGAGCCTGCATCTGACATCAGAGCAAGACCGGCTCCTGGAGACGTTGACATGTCCTTTTCTGGGCTTAGAGTAGTGCAATTTTGTATGGCCTCGGCACATCCAGCCTGTAATGGTGTGGGACTTTTGGGCTTTTGAGTAACTTTTTTAGCCCTTTTATAATTGACTGGCTTATTAGGTTTTAAGAAGTCTTATGTATTTTAGAACAATCTCATTAGCTTATGTTTATGTTGAAAAGGAGTAACTATCCTATGAGAATATTTTTTTATGAGGTATCAATATTCCCAAATTGACTGTATTTCACAATGAAAAACAATTTAATAGGTGTCTTAAGAGCTCCCTTAGACAAAAACTTTACTATTTTAGAATGAAATTGTTATAGAACTTCCTGATCTTTACAAAACACTAAATTACTCATAATTTTCCATTTTTATAAATCCCTTAAGAACATAAAGAAATAAAGTGCATTTTCTATTAAAGGGGACCATGTA